AGAACAGGGGGGGGGGGGGGGGATCTGGAGAACAAAGTACAGTTTCCTGCACGAGACCGAGACGCCGGTTCAGACAGTCATCAAAACTGGGTTGTGGGAGCCAGCAGCAGCTCCACCTCTCGCCACAGGCGACCAGAGAAGGGGGGCCTCCGGGTCTCTGAATCAGACCTGAGTAGAACAGCACTACCAGGCAAAGCGCAGCGCTAATAGGAGAGCTGAAGGCACTGAGGTATCCGGACCGTTCCATATCACTCCAGACGGCAGGACAAGTTGCGGGAATACGTACGGTGGAGGGGGATTCCCAGGGAAAGATACACATTGTCCAAGGAGTAAAAAACTAAGCATCCGAGGCGACATCCCGCAGGAGCCATGTCTGCGGAGCCTCATCCACCACCACCCCGAGACAAGAAGAGATGCTCCGTCCAAAGAAAGCAGCTCCTCTACCCGGCAACGGATGACGCGACCCCTCTCGGAGCCGGCGATTGGCTGAAAAAGCTTGCCTTCTGACTCATGGAAAGTCCTAGCCAAAACCCACCCTGGGAAGTCCCTGGCCCGCTTTCCCCAGGCGGGGGGGCTGGGGAGGGAGGAAGCAAGTTGCTGGCTGCCGTCCTGGCCCGAAAGAAAGATCCAGACAGGCAAGAACAAGTTGTGTCGTCCCACCCGTTCTCTCTGCTGGGGGGAGGCCAGCACACGTGCTTGCAGGCACTTCTGCTGGCGCCGGACTGTGGCACTTGCTGGCTGGCGCCCAGGTGTTGAGGCGCTGAAGGGAGGCACTCAGAACTCAGAGGCAGCAGAGGCGACGCCGGTGGTCACCCGGTCAGGGAAGCCACTAGGACTCACAGCCTGCTTTTGGTGGAGGCTGGGGGGCTTTGGCCGGGGGGGCTGGGACCTGTTTGGCACCCCTAGGGCCAGCCCGCACTCTAGGCGAATGCCTAGTTCGCCTAGCAGGTGTGCCGGCCCTGATGGGGAGCAAAGAAGACTGTACAACCCAGAAAAACTGCACTCTATTCTGCTAAGAGCATGGCCAACTGACCAAGAATGAACTGTATCCGAGTTAGCCAGTTTGGTGTAGTGGTTAAGTGCGCGGACCCTAATCTGGGAGAACCGGGTTGGATTCCCCACTCCTCCACTTGCACCTGCTGGATGACCTTGGGCAAGCCATAGTTCTGGCACAGCTGTTCTTGAAAAAGGGCAGTTTCTGTCAGAGCTCTCTCAACCCCACCTACCTCACAGGGTGTCTGTTGTGGGGAGGGGAAGGGAAAGGAGTTTGTAAGCCACTCTGAGACTCCAAGTGAAGGGCGGGGTATGAATCCAATCTCTTCTTCTTCTTCTTCGTCAGACACTCAGCTAGTAAAAACTAGAATACTCATTCTGCCCTCCTTAGTCAACCATTTATCCAGTTTTCAAAAATACCCAAGGACTCAATAACGTTCAACTGAAAACAAAAAGGGGTTTTCTTGAGCTCCAGTTAGATCAGATCCAGCCCCAAAGGGAAGGTACTGAAGAATACTTCTGTCTCGTAACAGAGGCAATCAGATACGATATGACGCTCTGCGTGACAGAATGTAAAGAGGAGCAAAAAGTGTTTTGAGATCTCAGTGTTATGGCTCAAAACCTCCGGTCAAAGGAGCTTATTGTTCATAAAGAAAAGGAATCTCGGTGTTCATTTTAACACGATGTAGAATGGTAGCATAACAAAGCTGCATTCAAGTTCTGTTCCTAAGACAAGGGGGAATGACAAGCAATACAGAAAATGAAGAATCATCTCTACTTTCAGAACGTAATGGGATTATACTGCTAAAGAACTCTCGGGAGCCCGTTTTTTCTTCTGCTTTTCAATTTAGACTTCGTGCGTCTTTTGAAAATAACTGATGGTTTAAAATTTCCTGATTGAGAAGCCCAGAGAAAGTCTTTCCGCGCTCTCGATTAGCGAGATTTCAATTATTTTATCTCATTAAGGGTGAAATGGAGCGTATAACTAAGTGTGCTTAATTACTACTGAATTCAATGGGGCTTAAGCATGTTTAACTGTACACGGGATTTCCCCCTATAATTTCAGCAAATCCAACTAGCATTCTAAAGCAGTAGAGAAAGAAAAGCTAATATCTTACCATAAAGAACGTATTTGATCAAATAGCTCTTCTCAGATTGCTCGGTGGTTGGCTTAAATACAAGGGAACATGTGTAGACTCCACTCATCTCCGGTTTAAACTGCCGGAATAGCAAAGTTCCTGTTGGTGTTATTTTCACAGTCTGATTTTCTATTTAAAAAGGTAAAATAAAATCAAGTTTAATGGCGTAAGAAATGTATGCTGAAGACCAGCTGGGACTCCCAACTGGCAGCATCATATTTTAACTTTTTTTGATCCTAGCCTTAACTGCGGTCATGTCTAAACAGTACCACTACAGTAAGAATAAGGATAAATAATTACTGCATTTCAATATAATAAAGGGTCTCACCAACAGGTGCAGTTCTTAGTAGGTGCTGCCTTCCTATGAAGCTGTTCATTTATTTACACTACAATGAGAACTCTCAAGACGGTATAAGTCTCAGGCATCTACATTCCTCTCATGTCAAGACAGGGAAGAAAATAACTAGGCAGTAACAGGGTTCTCTCTAAGATGGTATCTCTTCAAGACTCCCCCAGAATCCCACATTCATTCCAGAAATAGAGTGAATGATTACGGAGATGCAATGTGTTCAAATAAAGAAGATAAAACTGTTTTATTTGCACCGTTTCCCCCTCCACTAAGCAGAAGGAATGGACAAGTTCAAGAGATCTACAGGCACCATCGCAAACTTAGGTCTGATCCGCATCTAGCATTTGCTCTGCGGTTTTACCAAACCCAGGCTGGAACGGAAATTCCCCTCTACATTGCATGCCACTCTCTCACTTTGAGTGATTGTCGGATTTTATGGCAGTGTTCAGACTGCATGCCGGTTTCACTTCCTTTGATCTCTCGGTTTTATGGTAGCCGCCTGCATAGATTTATGGCCATTCGGGGGTGACTCTGCAGTCAGGACGGTGTTTTGAATGTGGTTTTGAGCCGCGTCTTTTTCCTGTTCCAGCGTGGGGTGGGGTAAAACAGTGGAGCAAATGCTCGATGCAGATTGGGCCTTAGATGTAGCAAACAGAAATGGACAACGTCTGCAGAAGTTATGCAGGTGACTACTCTGAGAACATTGATTTTAAAATTCAAACGGATTAGAACAATGTTGTAAGGGGCGCGGGTTTCAGAAGAGTGATGTCCTTCTATCAAATGGAACTCTGTTTCCAACAGCAGTGCCTACATTTCCTGAAACCTACAGGCCCCTTGGATTCCACAGAGGATTTCCACTGGTGGAGAGGGACAATTTTTGTCCACCAGGAGCAGTGTTTTGAGGAGCATTTGTTTTGAGCCGCGTCTTTTTCCTGTTCCAGCGTGGGGTGGGGTAAAACAGTGGAGCAAATGCTCGATGCAGATTGGGCCTTAGATGTAGCAAACAGAAATGGACAACGTCTGCAGAAGTTATGCAGGTGACTACTCTGAGAACATTTTTATCGATGGCACATATCTCCAGTTAGACTGAATAAATTTGACAAAACAATTGGGAAAGTATGTTGGAAATGTAAACAAAGGGATGGAACCTTTTATCATCTATGGTGGACATGCAATAAGTCTAAAAAATATTGGAAGATGGTAAAAGAAATGGTGGAAGAAATATTAGGTAGACAAATGCCATTTGAACCAGAATGTTTTTTATTGAATTTTATCCCAGATGATTTCAAAAATAGGGAAAGTTATTTAGTGATGCATATAATCACGGCAGCTAGGATTCTATATGCTAGTAAATGGAAAAATGAGGATATTCCTACAAAAGAAGAATTGAAGTTAAAATTAATAGATGTAGCGGAACTAGAGAAACTGACGTTTCTCTTGAGGGAAAAAGGCTGGGAAGAGTTTGAAAAATTTTGGGCAAAATTTTATAGGTGGATAAAACTGATATGATAACGAAAGTTAAACATAAGGCATGTAAGATAATTAAGTTCTTAAAATTATGGGTACTGTTTGATTTATTAGAATTTTGTATTATAGAATAGTTGGAATGAAGTGTTCTAGACTTGATAAGAAAAGTGAAGGCAATACTAATGATATGATGGGAAGAACTCTGCACAAGTTGATGTAAATATGAGTAACAATGGTTATTGTTATTAGATTTGGTGGAAAAATGAATAAAGAAAATATTTTTTTAAAAAAAGAAAATGTATGTTTTAGTAGCAGATATCCTTTATATAATGCAAAATGTGTTCTGAATCTTCTGTTACCGAGTCTGCGGACAGACTCAACAGCTCCTACTTCTTGCACATCCCAAAGATTGAGGACTTTCAGCACACAAGGAACCATACCAAAATTCTGTTAAGTTTGCTAACCATTCAGAGGTGACAGTACTGTGCTCGTATGATACGAAAGGGATCCCAAACTCAAATCTGTGTTGTGGACTGCAGACGGTAACTGTTTACTCATCGGCAAAATCTTGAAACTAAATTACGTCACACACAAGAAATATTAGTAATTATTGGACTACTGGGCGAGCTCATTCTAGACAGCAAGGCAAGAGGAAAAGAAGACATTCAAGGGCATGATGTCTAGAAAGGGAGATGTGTAGAGATGCATCTGGGGGACACACTTCTGTTGCCACGTTGTGCTGCGAGGACAGGCAACAGGACTACAATTGCAGGACGATGCAGAAATATGGCCGGGGGGGGGGCACAGTTGCCTCGGCAATACGAGAACACACCCCTTCCCTTCATCCCCCACACACAGCTAGTGAACTCTTTCACCCATTTGCCTGCCCCCCCAAAAAAACACAACCGCAGAAGGAGTGCTCCATGAAAATCCCCCTCTCCCCCATTCAACACAACTCCTTAAAGTAATCGTGGTGTTTTGATATAGCAGTTGATAGAAAGGCATGCACGTGGGTCTTTTAGCAGGCACTTGGAACAAGCAGGATAGCACAAAAGTATAAAAAGAGCATCCACACTAGAAATACTCCACCCTTTGTGCTCTGAATTTCACCTTTTAATGCCTTTAACTGGAAGAAATAAGCCTTACAGGGCTCTTTTTGTAGCAGGAACTCCTTTGCATATTAGGCCACCCACACCCTTAATGTAGCCAATCCTCCAAGAGCTTACAGAGCTCTTCTTACAGGAGCTACTGTAAGCTCTTGGAGGATTGGCTACATTAGGGGTGTGTCGCTTAATATGCAAATGAGTAACTGCTACAAAAAGAGCCCTGCGTAAATCCCTCGTGGAAAACAGCTCAGATATACAAATGCTTAATGCTGGCAGCATCATGCTCTTTGGGGTTTCTTAATTCCATTCTGAATACTGCTTCTGCAGGATTCAGAATACTAGCAATTGTCTATACAATAGCTTGCCATTGTCTATACAATAGCTGCATTCAAATGTCAAAAAGAAACTTCCGCTTGTTCATTATGAACACAGTCACATGTACTCCCTTTCCTCCTTCCCTCCTTTCCCATCCCAGTTAGATGAAACCAGGATTGAACTGTGTCTTAAAACCCTGGTTTATCGCCCAGAGAATGATGCTAGTACTGCCACAACAAACTGCAGCTTGTTCCAAGCCAGGAAGTTTTTAATATCTACCCTGTGAGAGGAAAGGCTCATTCTCATCAGGAATAAAATCTCTTAATACGGTCAGTAATAACTTCCAACAAGCTCCATCCAAAATCAACAACTTTCTAGTTCCACAAATTTCAATGTGAGAATCAAGAAAACGGTTAGACCTCTTCATTTGTTTTACTTTGGCTAGACTGGCCACAGACATCTATCCTGGGCCCTTAAGACCCACCCAAGTAAAATGAAAAAGTAAATACAACTGATGAAAGCATTCAAGAATTAGGAGTGCTGAAGACCTACAAAAATAAATGGAGGCAAAACTTACCAACAGCGTTTAGAAATAAAACGGGAGAGATTACTACCCGATGGGGAAAACACCTTACCTGTGACCATGTCACCTCCTGGTCCATGCCACTGGAATATTGGGTCGATCAATTCAGAATTTCTTAGGTGACTCGTAATGCATAGAATACGTGGGCTGTTGAAATTCATCTTGACATAAACTTTGACTGAAAGTATAAAGTGCCATGATTATCAATATGCAATCGGAATCCGCTCTTTCGATACATCGCAAATACAATGCAACCGCACCCACAGCAGAAAAGCCAGGGACAGAGAGAAATGCTCGGACAGACGCACTAGCTATAACCAAACCACAATTGCATTGCTACACGAAAAAAGAAGAACGATTTGAGCAATCAGGAAAATAACGCTTCTTCACCGACCGGCACAAAACAGGCTGTTAACAGCGCGGCGGTCAGAAGAGAACTGGCGGGATGTCCGTGCCCCGCCTCTTTGGGCATGCACAATGGGGTTCCCGCGCATGCTTGGGAGGGAGGCGCGAAAATCCCTTTGTGAGCTTTGCATACCACCAATTCAGATCAGCGCAGGCGCATAATCCCATGGGTGTGATGCACAGAGACCACAAAGAAGATCCGCCAGTTTCGAGTCTGGTAGCACTTTAGAGAACAACGAGGTTTCGGGGGCGTGACCTTTCAAGAATCATACCCCGAAAATTGCGTTGGCCTCTACAAGGCTACTGGACTTGAATCCAGCTGTATTGCTATAGCTTCACTTAAAGTTGGCATAAAGTAGGCTGTCAGGTCCCCAGTCAAATCACTCTCCCCACACACACTTTGGCAGTGAATGCTTTATTTAGAGATACGAGATGCATGGGGTTCAAACTTCTTGTTAGGACTGAATCGCAAAGGCGGGGAAAAGCAGGATATAGAGGTTAAAAAAACCCAAAATTCCAAACACTCCTACGTCAGCGTTACTATAGTGACTCTGACAGATATGTCGTCACTATCTACTTCAGCCAAGCACAATCTTCTCCGAGAACATTTGCGTGTGAAACCTGTCCTCGGGGCCTCTTGAGAAAAGTACCAGGCGAAACTCCCTAACCAACTACTCCTCTAACTGCACACACTCCCCGCCCCCTCCCAGGAATGCATTGGCAAGCGAGGGCAGCAATAAAGATACAGACCAAAAAAAAAAAAAGGTAGGGATGAATAATACAGTTAGCACGGATGTCAGATGCCTGTTACCCTGACAACACAGCTCATTACCATATTAGGCCAACATCCCCATGTTACCAGAAGTGTGCTCATCCAGCCACACCCACCTTTTGCTTCTTATTCTGTTTACTTTGTTGTCAAAACTCAGGGCTTTTTTGTAGCAGGAACTTCTTTGCATGTTAGGCCACACCCCCTAATGTAGCCAATCCTAATGAGTTTCTGCTGTTAGGTGTGGCGTATTATGCTAACGAGTTCCTGCTGGGCGTGGCCAACTCAGGAGCCAGCCGGAACTCCGTTCCTGTGCGTTCCTGCCCAAAAATAGCCCTGGGCAGGGCTACTATGACGTTCTGGGCAGCCCAGCCGCTGACAGGATATGACCTAGTCCGTCTGTCAGAGAGGCCTGAGGTTGTCGGCAGCACAACCCGCTTCATGGTGCCCCACAGTCAGCAGTCTGTTGACCGCCAATAAGAGGCCCAACTGAGCAATGGCCTGTCCTCCCAGGCAGCCCACGCATGCTCACACATGCAGGCCGTTGGCAGTCCCATTGTCTGCTGTGGCAAAAGCACCGTGAACAGTCATCCAAATGCTAGTTACAAGAAGCACCTTGTTACAAGCAAGGCAAGGTAAAATTCCTTCTGAGCTCCACAAATCCTCAATTGCCTTAAGTCCGTGCAAGAAAAACCTGTACAGCATACAAGAGAAAGAAGAGGCACACACTGGCCAAGACGAGGCACAGGCCCTGGCTAATGTGCTTCCCACCATGATCGACGCTTGGTTACTCCTAACCTTCAGGGTGGTGGACTCACCTGAATTGTCCTCACCCCTCCCCTACTAAGCCAAGTGTAAATAGATGTCCTGCCATTAACTTGAGAACAATAGTAAAAGGGAACCACGGTGAACAGTGAGAGTAAGAAAATATACAACACTGTTGTACACAACGGTGAAAATACACACACACAAAAATTCTATCATGCATTAAATCAAGCAGAGCAGACACCTCCAAGGAGATTTAACGGCTGTCTCATTTCTTTCGGTTCGGCCCTTGAAGGTGTTTGCCCTGCTTCGTTTAATATATGAAGGCTTTGGTTCCGATTGGTGCACAGTCCTGACGAAGTCTGATTGAAACCGCTTTTCAGTCCGGAGTAGCGAGTTGACTGCTTTCATCCGACTGCTTTCATCTTCTGCAAGAAAGACTCAAACTGACTTTCTGTGTGAGAATTTACACCTCTTGGTGTCGATATGCCCATTGTGCCTTACGTCTGAATTGTAATATTATTGGATAATTATAGTACACTGTTTAAATAGTAAGACTATACTGTAAAAATAGAGTATTTTTGGCACTGTGTTCTATATTTTCATAAACTTGAGAACTGCATTTGTATATATAATTATTTATGCAAGGATCCAGCTCAAACAACACCAAAAACGGACGTGGAGACAGTCCCCACCACCACCATTTCCCACACAGTGACAGGCAATCCTCCCGTAAGCAAAGAATTGCTTTTGTGTGCCTAACTCTCTGGGTCAGATCCAGCCGGTCTCTTATGCCAACAGGGAGATCTGATTAATATCTTAAATATTTGTTTTCTTGCAACAATAATAAAACACAAAATACTGTAGAACGATTACCAAAGTACAAGTTGCATGCCGGAAATGAATGGAAAAACCGAAGAGAAGTCAGAATTTGTCTGTACCAACAGTGAAGCCACATGTAGCTCTCTCTGAAACATTCCTACAGAAGACTTTATTGGTTGGGTTATCCAAAGAAAGCCGTGCTGTGTCAAAAAGACCCCTTGCCCTCTGCTCTATTCTGTCCAAGTTTGATTATAATCAATATACTGCAAGCATTGCCAACAGCTTCTTTTGTTCTTAAAACTGTATGTATTATTTAATACTAGCACTTTCAGTATAATTGCATAATTACATAAGGAAATGCGGCATTTGTAATTTCATTGTCTGAAGCCTCCACACAATTATCAAGAGAAATAAGCCTGAATTGATTAAATATATAACACATACCTGGCAAATTGGTTGATCCTACAACTTTCACTCCATTAGGATCTATACCGGAAGAACAATGAACTGTCAAAACAGGAAAAAAAGATAGCGTAAAAATTTAAACTTCAGAAAGGAACGTAAAATATGCATCAATGCCGGCTGATCAGAGATTTGTTAAAAACAAACGAACAAACAAAGTCAAAGATTTATGATAAGAGGCATTGGAGAGCTGAAATAAGATCAAGGATAACCAATGGAGGTAGGGAATTGATTTAGACTGGAAATTCCTGGGTTCTAATGTGCAGTCATCCTTAAAACTTACCGTTGGCCGATTTTGGGGCAAACAATCCTGCATGGTTCAGACATAACAAGAAACCATGGTTTACTGCTACAGAGATAAGCCTGGGGGATTCTTAGGCTGACAAACTGCTGCCTGCTTTCATGCAAGCCGGCAAAATGACTGTCTGCTTTTGTGGGGAGTTTTTCCTAGAGATGTAAAATTTCCGGAAATTTTGAAGCTCGGAAAAAAACCCGTTTTTTTTCCGGTTTTTTTTCGGGAAAAAACGGAAATTTTTGGAAAAATTGAAAAAAATGCTACATTAGCATTTCTTTTGTCTTTTCTAGATTGAAAGTCATTCTGTTACTTTAGGAACATAAAAAATGACTATGGACATTTTTACTTGGCATGAAATTATCACAACTAACATATTAAAAATATAGTGTACCCAAACAATTATTACAAACAGAATACCCACCCACATGCAAAAACAAAACTGAAACCTTTTTATTTTCTTCTGACAATCGCACCTCCTAAAGGAAGAAATGCATCTTGTTCTTGCATTGGAGAGTTCAGTTTGTAACCTAGGACTTGCTTGTCCTCAGTGCACAGAAATTAGATCAATCTGATACCATTATATATTTTAGAAATGATTTGGAAAATATTTGAACACCTTGTCTTAAAATATTTTATTTATCATGTTAAAATAAAACATTCCATAAACAATTTCTTTTCTTTTCTTTTCCCAATTTTTCGGAAAAAAACAAAAAAGCTTCAGGGAAAAAAACAGAAAAAACCTGGGTTTTTTTCGAATTTTTCCGGGTTTTTTTCCGGGCCTTCACATCTCTAGTTTTTCCCCACAGCTTGCCATTACATTCCAGTTGGCAACTACCGTTTGTGCTTTCTTGGCAAACCAGGATTAAACCACTGTTTGGGGCCCGGATTAGCAGAGAACAAACAAACAAACAAACAACAGTTTGTGGGTTTGAATAAATTAACTAGCTAAACATGAGGGAAAGTAAAGAAGCAGCATGCAATTTTAGGATGATCCCCCACCCAGGGATGCATGGATCCTACACATACTCTCTCGCGCACACACTGTATCTCTCGATATAATCAACTAAATTCCCCATCAGCTACCTTGAGCTCACCTAGGTGAAAGTGCGGCACACAAGTATGGTTGGTAAATTAGCTAGATGGGAGAGATGTATCAGATGAACTGTTGTGAAGTAGTATGCAACTGCAGCTATATTAATTGGAAACACAGATTCTATATATTCACTCGCTGGCTTGCAAATGGCAAGTATCTCCTCCGTACATGTCCAGCAGGGAATTATGCACATCCAGCAAACACTGATTTTGAATCCACCTGTCCTTTCTTCCCCCACCCTCCATGAAGAAAAGGAGAGATTTTTTCCTCCCGCAAGTCACCTTTGCCATCTCCTGCAAGAGACTGGGGGGGGACACCTCTTCAGTTTCCACCCATTCTTTGCAAAGAACGGCAGGCAGTTTCTTGTTCTTTCCATGGGGCTTTTCTGGGGCTGTCCTTGCACCTTTTACATAAATCCAACAAAGGTGCAAACACCCTCCATTTCCCAAGTTCTCTGCCCATGGCACTGGATGTGGGGAACAGGGGAGTGGGGGTTAACACAAGTATTGGGCCTGGCTTATAACCCAATCCAGATTTTGCAAATCCCTGGTCATGGGGTGGAGATAACACTCATTACATGGGGCCTTTCACTTGTTTCCCCAGCATAAGCTACATAGTACATGAACCTTTCACAAGCTAATAGTTTGGTGTAGTGATTAAGTGCGTGGACTCTAATCTGGGAGAACCTGGTTTGATTCCCCACTCCTCCATTTGCAGCCAGCTTGATGACCTTGGGCAAGCCACAGTTCGGTCAGAGCTGTTCTGGAAAGAGCTCTCTCAACCCCACCTACTTCACAGGGTGTCTGTTGTGGGGAGGGGAAGGGAAAGGAGTTTGTAAGTCGCTCTGAGACTCCAAGTGAAGGGTGGGGTATAAATCCAATCTCTACTTCTTCTCTTCTCTAATTAATAGTTAGTAGTCCACTCCATTAATAATAAGTACCCCAGTTTAATTAATAAGTACCTCGGTCCATAGTCCTGGGTGCATTCAGATACAGAGTTCCTGCACCCACAAGCAATGGCAGACATACACCTTAAAGGAGCTAATCAACTGGCACACGAGCCACCTCTGATATGAACAGGAGAGCCTTTATGGACTGGAACATTATCTGACCCTAATGAGCCTGCGTCTGCTTAGACTGTGACAAATACAATGATCAGCAACCGCTGGTTTAGGAGGACTATTTGTCATTTATTGATTTCGGCAGGGTTACCAAATTTTGAAAAGGAAAAAAGAGAACGTATTTCCCGACTGACTACTTCAAACAGGTGATCTCTATGACAAATCTCATGTTAAACACCCCTACTACTGAAGCTGTGATCATGGCTACCAGCTAGGAATATTCCTAAGATTCCAACCCAAAAAGGGAACACTTTAATCAGTTTTTTCAAAGAGAACCCTAAAGAGGACAGACATCAAAAGAAGAGGGCATGTCCTCTAAAAGGAAGATATCTGGTAACCCTAGTTTAGGCTGTTCTTTGAAGTACTGATCTTTGAAATTTATTTCCCATGTTATATATTCAAGGCTTCGTAACGCCCATTATACCAAAACTTCATTAATTACCTAAGCTTTATTGATGTTTTCATAATACCCAAATATACTTAAATGTAATATACATATTTTATGTTTTGTGTACCACTTCAAGCATTTTTTTTGCCTCAGAGACTTACAGCTTAGAAATATTACAAACAAATAATACAGAAATAATTAAAGGTCAGGTGATTAGCTTTAAACTAATCCCATGGCATAATTAAAATTGGATAGGGTCTTTTGGGTTTTTTACCCCAGTTAGAACTTGTCGAGGTTTTAAGTAAAGGCTGAAGGACTCTGAAATGTGCCTATGAGACTTTTGTTATGGGATGATTGGGGGTACTGTTTCTAGACAGTTAAACTTAAGCTTAATGGGGAAAGTATTATAAATGTTTGACTCAGTTTATGAAGGGATTAATGATGAGAAGACTTGATGTCTACTAAGCTAATTGGAGGATCTCTTCTCTTGGGGCTTTTAGTAGTGGGTTCTTTCCTTTATCCTGTTTATGTAGTTTCCCTTCCCTTTTCTTCTGTTGCAGTTTTTTGTAGTGATAAAAAATAATAAAAAATCCCCTCCGGGGGCTCAAAAAAAAAAAAGAACTTGTTGAGGTTTTGTGGCACATCCTGTTGAACTCTTAGCTATCTGCTTCATGGGGCCACGAGACCCCACTTTCAGGATCAGACCTAATTAACACAGTACTTAACAACATCAGCCCAGAAACACAGCACTTTGGGATTTTCCATTAGAAATCAGTGCCTGAAAATTATTAAAATGTTTCATGCACAACTAGAAAATCTGTTTCCAACATTCTGAACATGAACCTATTTTCCCCTCATTTGCTTAGTCCCTCTAACCTTTTTTAAGGTGAGCTGTCCTGAGCAAGACAATGTCTTCACTGACATCTAAATCCACAAGATGGAGCTCTTCAACCACTAACTCTCGGCTCTGGGACATTGTCTCCAAAGGGAGAGCTTTCATGGTCCTACTGAAATCACTAGGTCAAGGTACTTACGTAACTGTTGCTATATTGTGCTCTAGATTTTACCCCCCAATACTGGGACAGAAAATATCCTGTAAATCTGGCAAAGGACTCAGCCACCATATTATTAATTTTCCGGCGGCGGCAGCTCAAGTACTATAAGTAAGCATGAAGGGAGCCTGAAAATCTGTAGGATGCAATTGCTTCTTCCTATCATCCCCAATACAAAATCAAGCTTGGGTCTCTATTGGGTTATACCACTATTGCCTAGGAATTTGCTCACTCTAAAGAATATTCTGAGATCTGGATTAATGTTGGCCATATTTGTAACTTTTTGCAACTTAAGGTAATGAAGATTCTGAACTAGAATCTTCACTCTCCAACGCGCATGCCAAAGAGTGGCACACGCTCCCAACCACATCTGGCCAAGCACAAGATTTGTCTTGCCCCCCTCCCCCAGCATTTTGTCGGCCAGCACCCCAACACCTTCACAGGTGAACAGGGGGTGGGCACTGAGGCAAAAAAGGTTGCCTACCCCTGTTCTAAACTCTGTGGCAGGTCCTGTGGATCTTGATTAAAAACTGAACGCCCTGTTAGTAACGATATATATAGGGAGAGGAGCATTATAGCAGTATCAGTTCAAGGCGTGTTGGTCAATCAGATCGAACATTAACAGAGTAAGTGTGGTGTCGTGATCAGAGTGTTGGACTAAGACTTGGTAGATCAAAGTTCCAATCCCCCTTCTTTCACAGAAGCGTAGCTGGGTGACCTCGGGCTAGTCATACACTCTTGAAAGGTAAAGGTTCCCTTGCTCGAAAGCCAGTCGAATCCGACTCTAGGGTTGCGGTGCTCATCTCCGTTTCAAAGCCGAAGAGCCAGCGCTGTCCGAAGACGTTTTCCATGGTCATGTGGCTGGCATGACTAAACACCAAGGCGCACGGAATGCTGTTACCTTCCCACTGAAGTGGTACCTATTTATCTACTTGCAATTTCTTGCTTTCGAACTGCTAGGTTGGCAGGAGCTGGAACCAGAGACGGGAGCTCACTCCGTCATGCGGCACCTGGGTCTTGAACTGCTGAACTACCGACCTTCCACAGCCTGCAGTTCAGCGTCTTAACCACTTGAGCCACCGCAGCTCCCATACACTCTTAGCCTATCCTAAAATGGAGAAGAGGACAATGCAAGCCCCTTTGAGTCCTTGCTGAGAAGGAAGGTGAAATGAAGTAAACAGATAGACTCATTGAATCATAGAGTTGGAAGGGGTCATACATGACATTCACTGGCTCTCAATCTAGTCCGACCCCCTGTCCAATGCAGGGCCACCCTAAAGCATCTCTGGCAAATATTAATCCAGCCTCTTCTTGAAAGCTGTCAGTGAAGGGGAGCTCCCCACCTCCCTAGGCAGCTGATTC